ATATACTGATAAAAGAAAGAAGTTATGAATAGGTCAGTATTAATTTGTTATCACATACAGCTTCTGAAGGATGCAATTTAAAATGTTCTCTTTGATATAAAAATGTAATTCAAAAATCCAACCTTTAAAAACTAAGTTAAATAGTCATCTACAGACTGTTAAACTGTGGGTAAGAATGACATTTTTTTTGAGACAGAAGCAATTCCAAAATGAAATGGAGAGCTAAAAAGCCAAACTGGAATCCCAAGTGAGAACAATGTTTTATGCATCAGAAAACAGAAACTCAGTAAAAAAAAAAACAAAATTCATCTTCAAGTAACTGTTTTAAGGGGAAGAAATTATGTGCACACCCGTATATATATATGCACATGTGTGTGTGTATGTGTGTATATGTCACATGTATGTATATGTGTATGTATATATGTATTATGTATATGTGTATGTGTGTATGTATGTACATACATATTAATAAGATAGAGATAGATAGTAAGTAATTTAGGGGAAAATGTCTAACAACCAGTTTTGAACTTAAAACTCAACCTTCCATTGAAAGTCTAGAAGTGTTTTAGAATCCTTTCCTAGGGGTTCAGTTTTTAAATCTACTTTAGCAGTTTAAGCATGGGGACCAAAGGGGAGGAATCTCTTTGCTGTTCTACAAGATTATAGTTCATCCAATGAGAAGGAAGTGGATCATAACTTTTTGGGAGTCCTCTCTTAAAATTTCTTATTAGGTTAGAAATAGTCTAGAAAACAATATATAAATATAGAGATAATACGTATTAACTTTGAACGAAAGAGATGGTTAATTTATGCTAAAACGTATAAAGAAAAGAAAAATATCACGGCTTTCTCAGTCCTTGAGTTATCTTTCTGTTGACCTAGTACATAAATCACCAAGGAAATTGTAGTTATGTAGGTATGGATCTGGATGGAAAGAAATAACTTTAAAAACCAAAGGTCACACCAAGAGATGTTGTATAGCCAGTCTAGTGAATAGATAGCCTCAGAGTCAGGAAGACTGAGATTCAAATTCCACCTCTTGAATATACTGTGTGTGACTCTGGGCACTTTCCTCTCATCGCCCTTGGCAGTGTTTTAGGACTAAACATTTCACAGAAAGTGCCAAGTATATTGGAAGACAGAATTCCTAAACAGGTGCTTGCTACACTGATGAAATCATGGGGTCCTATTAAAATCAAACCAAGAAAAAAAAACCAAACCACTGGAGTTCTTAAGTCAGATGCAGATGGTAGAGGATGAAGATTATGCAATTATGATAACAGAGAATTCTATGATCTTGACTTTTAAAACAATCAATTTTCCACTTTTCATTTTCATTTGCTAATTTGTTTTGTTGTTGTTTTTATAATGGCACGTGGGGATGAAGGTAGGGAGTAGGATACCTGGGAGGAGAAGAGACCAATCAGAATAATAAGCATAATGTAAGGTTTACTATAGGAGACTGTGGATTCTTCTAAGTAAGATCCTTAAAATCCAGATGAATACTTTTCTATCTGAGAAGTTTAGGTTTAATCTTCCCAAGGGCAGATGGGTAGGCTACATTATTTTCTCTTCCGGTTCTCCTCCAGCTCTTAATCTTTTTTGTTTGTTGTTTCTTAATCCCCTTAATGATGCTTTCATAAACTGTTCTACTTTTATAATAAGAAATATCAGAATTCTGTCACAAATGCTGCAATGACTTTCACTTAAAAATTATCTAGTAAATGATTAAGTAAATAAAAAAACCACTTTAACCCTTGCTGCATATAAATTTTGAAAATAGAATATTTCCAGAGAATTTTAATGTTTTAAAGATTACATTTGTTCAAGGGTATGTTACTACTAACATTCATAACCCAAAGATCAAATTCTTATATAAATAACAAGAAAAAGTTATTCGGTGAGTTTATCCTGTAACCTTTTACATTTGGATATGAAAAGTAAAATCTGGTATAGGTCCCAAAATAAACATAATGGCTTATAGCCTTGACAAATTGACATTCACCATATTACAAAGCTATCTAGAAAATGTGGCAGAATCAAAGCTTGTGGGCTACATGGAGTACACATGTTAAGAATGAAGTGAATTTGTAGAACTGTAGAAAATTGGCCCTGCATGAAGGCTAATAGGGTAATACCTGTTACATGCTCTGTTCTTACTTTTAGGGATATAGAAATTATCTCACAAGCATGTTTATATAGTATATCTACTTGTGGCTGCTTTCGCAAAGTACACTACTTTTACACCAAGCAGTTCCTTATGCCAATTTTCAAGATGGATTTGTTCTCTCTGAAGGCTGGGGAAAGTATTTTTAAAAACAATTATTCTAATAATTACAGTATTTTTTCCATGAAAGACTGCAAGAGTCTGAGAACGTGTTAAAATGGGGAAAAAATGCTTTGTTGCATGGTTAGGCCTTGAAAATCATGTTAGTTACACTTTCTAGGACATACTCTACCTCATACTGGATTAACCAGCAAAATACTACAGTGAGATACTGCAAAGCAATATGCTACCCCATCTTGTTCCACATATACATTTTAAATACTTACTAAGAATAGTTGCATTCATGGTTGTCAATTACTCACTGATTGCTCAGCTAATTTTTCACGTTTTTGAACCATTTTTTGTTCAACCACTTCTGACACATCATAAATAAAATTTAGAAGGAAATAAACTTTTTAGTGTTTTCAACAAGATTTTTACTAAGACTACTTGGAGAATTAATTTAACCCCAATTTGGCAATATTAAAAATAATGACAAAGAAAGGAAATTGCATGTAAAGATGTAATAGCCACCATCCTATATTCCCTTAAGCTACTTCCGAAAATCTTAAATAGGGTGCCAGATGTGAGAGCTGATAGAAAAAAAAATTAGCAACAATTGTCTAAATGCATACACAATCAAGGTTTTTTTTAGTGTTGAAATAAAAAAAAGTAATAAAAAAGGCATTTAAACATAAAGCATACTAACCAAATGACAAAAAATTGAGCACTGCCTTAAAGCACAAATCTAATGACACTGTAGGGAATACTACAGACATTTCATCATCCACTTGAGAAAAACTCACATAAAGGAATAATGAGAAAGTAAACTATAATGGGAAAAATAGGGATTCTCTGACAACCCGAATAGTCCCTTGCATTTATTTTCTTCAGTATTTAAGTTACATGCATACTTTCAATTTACTGAACATTTTATATAAGCAGAAAGGAAAATCACTAGTCTTTGTCCCCTCTATTTTTGTTTTTGGGCAAAAGCTTTTTCTGGTGAAACTGATCAGAGACCTATTGTTTAAACAAACTGCTTAACGAGAAAAAGCATTACCATCAGAAAAAGATCGAGCTACCTGCAATACAGGTTTCTCATCAATTCTAGATGGGGTGACAGTTCTGTAGTGTTCATACCCCACTTCAAGTACATCAACCTTTTCCTGACTCATTACGACAGACCTGAGCCTGTTCTTAGATAGGCTGTGAGGCATTCCAAGTACTTCTTTTTTTTAACCCTAGAGCGAAACTGAGAAAACCAACCATCAGCATACATATCATGACAGAGGATTAAAAGTTTGAAGGTGTTGAACAACTAACTGACTGCAGGTTCATTCCCATTGAGCGACAGAAATTTGGTCTCAGACAAGAAGCAACTCCCATCTGCAGGGACTTATAAAAGGCGCGTTCATTTTCAGGTCTTTCAGTAGAAAGCAAAACACACGCGCTCACTCAAGCACTCATTTGCTCATGCCCGAAGAACACCAACAGTGCTGGTGAGGTAGTTACCGAAACAGACGGTTAAAAACTCCTTGGTTAATAGGAGATTGTTCTGTTTTTCAGACCTTCTGGAGCTAGGAACTTTCTCAGAGAAAGTAAGTAGTTCATAACTCTCATTCTTTCCCCCCCCCCGTCCTTCCTTGGGTACCATCCCCCTTTTGTTACCTTCTCCGCCCTCAGCGGGCAAAGAGCTCCTCTCAACTCACTGCGGGATCTCACAGGTCCTATCCAAAAGCTTTGCCCCTTGAATACAGTCACTAGTGCCTCTTTCTTTTCCATTCCCTACCTGGGAAGCACGTCCAAAGGAGTTGCCCTAAAGTGGACAATGTAGTGGAGAAATAGACTCTCAGAGCATGAAGCTGCTTCCGGAGGCTCCTGATATTCACTGATTTGGACTAGGGGGTGGGGTGACAAAAGAAGATTCACTGTTCCTCTCTGTAACCCAAAGATGTAAGGCGGACCCGCAGTCTCTAGAAAAAAGTGTGGTAATCCTTTCTTTACCGTTCTTTAAACAAATATCCCTCATTCCCAAAGGCCATCCTTCTTCCAATTTCCTTTCTTCCCCTTTAAACTCCCTTTTGCCAACTCTCTCTTACCCTCCAGAATTCCCGAGAAAAGCTTTAACATTACGGTGCCTTTCTGGATTCGCTGTCCCTAGGCGATCGAATCCAAATGCTCTTTCTCTTAATTATAGCAATAAAGTTCAATTTACTCGGCTCTTTACGAGCCACATCGGACTTTGCTGCTCATATCACGCTTCTCTCTTTTTCTTTCCCCTCTTTCTCTCTGTCAAAGAGCATCCTATCTATTTAATCCAAGCCTCGGTTCCTGAAGGACGTTGGTGCACATTAGAAAGGAAGACCCGCTGCTTTTACTGGAAAGTGCAATACACACACACACACACACACACACACACACACACACACACACACGCCATGAAATCTCTCTGCTGTCAAAGTCTGTCACAGATTCAGTGGCGGCTGGCAGCATAGACAGAGGCAGCAGCAGTCACGCTGCCCGCCCAGGACCCGCGCCCCGAGTCCTAAGCATCCTCGCCTAGCTCCTTACCCTTGTCTGTGGCACCGGGCAGGGTGCGCTCACCCTGCACCTTGAATTGCCTACCAGGCTGAACCTCTAGTCACTCAGCTGCTATCCGGCAAACCCATCTCCAAAGCTCATATAGAGGTTGCCAGAGACGCCCACGGATTCCCTCCGGACTGGACCTTACCAGTTGGGTTTGTTGTCTTCGGCCGGCCGCCCGGCTGGATGGCTACGGGGCTGTTGCAGCTGCACTCCCGGCGATGATGCTGTTGCCGCCGCCGCTGCCCGGATCCCTGGCGCCAGCATCACTTCTCCGCCTCCTCCTTCTCTTGCACCGCCGCCACCGCCGCCACCGCCTCCTCCTCCACCTCGTCCTCTTCCTCCTCCTTCTCCTCCTCCTACCGTAGCAGCAGCGCCCGCAGCAGCAGCAGCAGCAGCAGCAGCAGCGGTGGCAGCAGCGCCCGCCGCCCAGCGCGAGCTCGCCACAGCTGCACCAGCCGGAGCAGCCGCGGCGGCAGTGGGAGCACCAAAGCCCCGGCCGGCTCCACTTACCCAGCGATGGCACTGATCTCCCCCGACTGACAACAGCCGGCAGCCAATCGCTGCCTCGCCCAGCTCTGCGGGGGGAGACCAATCAGGGCGGAAGGCCCAAGGTTTTCCTCCGCCTTTGCTCAGCAGGGTTGTTTCCGGGAGAGAATGCGCTGCTTTGGGGCTTGCAGGGTGGGGGAGGAGGAGTGAGAGTGGTACTGGTACTGGGTAGGTGGACCTTCGCCGGGTTCCTGTAATTGCCTTGAGTAAGGTAGGGTTTATGAAGGATGGCCGGGAACGCTTTCGCTGGGGTCTGGATGAATGAAGTCCAAAGGCTCTGCAGAAAAGGGCGCCTCAGGGTGACTCTGACCCTAGAACTGTGGCATGGACGTTCGGCATCATTGCCTCGCCTTTTCACAATCCGTGGGGCAAGTGTGTAAGCGACACTCATTGTTGGAGAGCGAGTTGCCAAAGGTGGTCCTTGGCCTGGAAGAAATCACGCGAACCATCATGCTGGCAAACACCATGCGCAGCGACTAGCTCCCAGCAAAGCTGAGCTGTTTTCCCGTTAGCAGTCAAGGCTGTAGCGAGGTCCCGATTCCAGGCTCTCCACCGGGCTCTCCTAGAACTATCAACGTAGAACACTCCCCACTCCCCATGGGGAAGCAGGGACCCGTTGATGCATAGTGGAGAATGATCTCAGAAATGGTAGTAGGGAGATGCCTCACTGTCCCCCTTCTGAAGCATAAAATACTTGTTAGCCACTTAAAAGTCCCTCTGGAGAATCAGCTCTGAAAGATGCAAAGTTTTTTGGCTCACGCCCAAAATGAAGTGATGGCATAAACCCAGAAAACGCATGCTATTTTCCCCGTCCCTGGAAGCTTTCTCTACCTTAAAAATAATAATAATAATAATAATAAATAAAAAGGAAAGTTGTGTTGTTTTATAGATTAAAGAAATATTAGTATATCGTATGTGCCACAGAGGTGTGATGCAGAAATGGCTAATGTCCTACTGCCACCTGTGTATAACACTTAGTCAGAACTGAGCTTTACTATTTGTTCTAAAGTGAAGGTGTATCTTCAGTCTCTTTTTTTCCTTCTGATGAGTGCAGTTATTATAGATTTTCCTGTATTACTGCCTAGAATTCCAAACATACCTTTGATAACTCCAGATAAAGACTAACATTTTCTTGAAGTAGAGAGGTGAGTTCATGGACAGTCTTCCTGATTTCACATTTTTCCTTCACACAACAAATTTGAATTCTTAACTTATTGTGAGGGAGCAAATATCAGGACAAATCTCACCTTGTTTTCTGAGTCCGTAACTATTAGTGATTTGATATAGATACTGTAGTACTCTTTGCCTTTGAATTCAATTTTCCTTGTCCAAACAAGAAATAGCAAACCTATCATCTCAGAGTATCATATTGTGGCCAGTCAAATATCGATCAGTTTACATTTGTGTTTTTCTGTAAACACATATAGAACAAATTAACTTGAGTTTTCATTGTGTGCATTACATATCTATAGCTATAGATAGATATATGCATGTATTAATCATAGAAATTCACAAAATGAAAGACATGGAAAGGATCTTAGAAAGTATTTAATTAACCCCTTTCCAGTGTACAATGACAAATGGGAGTCTCAGAAAAATGAAGGCCCTTTCTCAACTTAACACAGATAATAAGTAAAATAAATAGGATCTATCCAAAATAAAATTATATAGTTCATTTCTCTAAAAAGTTATTAAATTTGTCAATAGGATTGAAATATTGGAGAAAACTTTCCCCTTGATTTTAATTAACTTCATACATTTAGAAAAAACTTTAAAATAGTTTTAGATACTTGAAGAATTTAGAAATCAGAACATCTTGAAATTCAGACACATACACATTTGGAAAATATATTTTATCAGAAGTTAATATTTTATTGTGAATAATTTCATAAAGCATCTGAATAGTTGAGGTACATGGTTTTTAGGGAAAATAAATATGTAATCTCCTGGGGTTTCATAGCAATAGAAGCACTTTATTTTTTTTTAATTGTACTTGTGCTGTATAACTAGAGAAACGTGACTGGAGGAAGTATGTTTTTCAACTTTTAAAATGACTAATAGATGCCCCAGAATATTTCAACTAGGTTTAAAACATATATATGTTGTTTTATGCAACAATCACTTCCCAATTTTACTGAACCCTTGAAAGAAAAAATGGAAAGAAAGAAGGGAGGAAAGAAAAACTAATCACCTTATTCCAACGTTTATGCAGTAGTCCATACTTTTCAATAAGAGAGAAGGGAAATGTTTTCTTGAGCCATCATCTGTTGTCCTGGGACAAGACTGGTCTTTATAATTAATCATAGCTCAGTTGCCTTTCAATTTAATTGGATTTTTAAAAGTTATTTACATGGAAAAGTACAGATATGCATACAGCCTATTCTAACTCAACTCCCAAATTCTTTTTAATGTTCTTAAATACTTAGTCATGAAAACATATAGCTCCCTGTTGGCTAAAAAGGAAGTTTCACTCAAACTAGAACCAACAATAAAGTTTGACCAAGTATCCAGAGGGCTAAAGATCATAGATAGAAGGTACAGTGTATAGAGTACTGAACTTGGAGTCAGGAAGATCAAAGTTCAAATCCTGCCTCAGATACTGGCTGTGTGACTTTGGGCAAGTCACTTAACCTTTTAAGCCTCAGTTTCCTTGTCAGTAAAGTGGAGATAATGATAGTACCTATCCCTTGAGTTTTGTTTTGAGGGTAAAATGAGATAACATATGTAAACCCCTTTGTAAACCTAAAAAAAAAAGTTAATGTTTCCTATTATTATTAAATAGAATTTGATACAAATGTGAAAGTAATACTTCAGTTCATTTGGGTAGTATTGGAGTTTCTACTACCAATACAAATTTCCACATTAACTACTTACTGAGATACATACATGAAACAGCAAAAATCAATGAAGCTGCAAAAGCAAGAGAATTAAGCAGAGTAGTTAGCCCATATCCCAGTCATTGTATGTCAATTAATGGGATTAAAACCTTTAAACTACTGCAATATGTAGATATTTACTGGAGAGATGGTACAGTTTTAGTTTGTTTAAATGACCTATCTCAGTTATGTAAAAACCTTTTTTTTCAGTCTTTGAGATAGTATTTTCCAATTCACCTTCAGTTAATTTATCAAACACCTAGTATATTATGAAAGCTCAAGATTGAAAAAGTACAAAAAATAAAACAATGCAATCCCTGTCCTCCAGATGCTTACTAACTTGTATGACAGATAAGATGTGCATACACAAAGATATTGTATATTACAAAATAGAAACATATGAAATATTATTGAAAGGTAGAAAACAGTGCTCTCAGAGTTCCAAAAAGAAAGACAACCCTCCAGGCTGGGGAATTAAGGAAAGCTTCATGAAAAAAAAGTGGTATTTGAGCTAAGTTTTGAAGGATTAGCTCTTCTGGTCTTTCTTCATACAATTTTCCACTTGTAAAGGATAGTGTACATCTGTGGCATTTTGTAGTTTCCATATAAAAGAAATAACACATTAACAATATTTTTCTTGCTTACATGATGCTGTTCCCAATGCTGTTGTCAAAATGCTAGTGCCAGCTTCACTTCCTGCTCCCTTTTTCCCCCCTTTCTCTTTGTCCAATGTCTCCTTGTTATGGAATAATTCAGATAATAAAAGAGGTTATACTAGGCATTTAGATTTCTGAACATAAATGCAAACATGATAAATAAATTTTATCTTATATAATCAATTATATAAACAGGACTAGAAACCTCATTTTTGAATGAGGTTCTCAGAACATAGTGCAAGTTCAGGAATAAGAGGGTTTAGTCAAGTTTCATCTATACTGAAAATTAGCCAAAGAATCTGAAGGAGATCAGTCATTTATCTCCACAGCAAGGTTACAAACATACAAAATGGGAAGGGATAGTGTCCTCAGCAGCAAGAAAAAGAGAAAAGGAAATTTGGAGTGTGGGAAAGATGATGAGTTTGATTTTGGATATTTTGAGGTTGATGTGGTAATTGGAACATGCAGGTGGAAACGTTAGTATGTTGCTGGTAAATAGAGGAGAAATGCCAATTAATTTAAATTCAGATAGAGCTATTTGGCTCAATATTAGGAAACCCTTCTTAGCAATTTTGGTTGCTCCAGAATGGAATGGGTCTTCCTATTAAAACACTAGAGAACATAGGAATAAATGGAATTTTTTCTTAAAATGATAAATAGTAGCTATCTAAAACCATCAGCAAGCATTATATATAATGGGGATAAGCTAGAAGTTTTCCCAATAAGATCAGGGTTGAAACAAGGATGCCATTATCAACACTATATTGTACTAGAAATATTAGCTTTAGAAACAAGAGAAGAAAAAGAAATTCAAGGAATTAGAATAGGCAATGAGGAAACAAAATGATTGCTCTGCAGATGATATGATGGTATACTTAGAGAATCCTAGAGAATCAACTAAAAAACTACTTGAAATAATTAACAACTTTAACAAAGTTGTAGGATATAAAATAAGCCTACATAAATCATAAGCATTTCTATATATTACCAACAAATGTCAGCAGCAAGAGATAGAAAGAGAAATTCCATTTAAAATAACTGTAGACAATATAAAACATTTGGGAGTCTGCCAAGACAAACCCAGGAACTAAATGAACACAACTACAAAACACTTTTTCACACAGATAAAGTCAGATCTAAACAATTGAAAAAATATTAATTGCTCATGGGTAGGCTGAGCTAATATAATGAAAATGACAACTCTGTCTAAAC